TGTAGCCAATCCTCCAAGAGTTTACAGAGCTCTGCTTACAGGGGCTACTGTCAGCTCTTGGAGGATTGGCTACAGTAGGGGTGTGTTGCCTAATATGCAAAGGAGGTCCTGCTACAAAAAGAGCCCTGGATGATGATGATGATGATGATGATGATGATGATGATGATGATGATTTGATTTGTACCTCGCCCTCCCTGCTGAGGTAGGCTCGGGGCGGCTTACGTAAAATTACAGCAGATAAAAACAGCAATATAAATATCAACATAAAACACAGCATAATTGCTAAGAGCTATTTGTATGGCAGTGGCGGTACAGTAGTAGAGAAGAAGAAGAAGAGATTGGATTTATACCCTGCCCTTCACTTGGAGTCTCAGAGCGGCTTACAAACTCCTTTTCCCTTCCCGTCCCCACAACAGACACCCTGTGAGGTGGGTGGGGCTGAGAGAACTCTGACACAAACTGCTCTTTCAGGAACAGTTGTGCCAGAGCTTGTGACTGACCCAAGGTCACATCAGCAGGTGCAAGTGGAGGAGTGGGGAATCAAACCCGGTTCTCCTAGATTAGAGTCCGCACACTTAACCACTACACCAAACTAGCAGCAGGCGTAATAAAAATACAATGAATACAGAAAGATTGCTGCGAAAGTTCACTGAAATATACAAAAGATGTTCAGTAGAAAATTCAACTTTTCATGATGTTATTTAATTCTTGTTTCCAACAGGTGCCAACAAGATGCACAGCACAGGAACAGGACGAACACTTCTCGAGTGTATCTGCGTTCGTTTCGAGATATATTCTTTATCAAACTTCACTTTTCAATGATCTTCACACAGTTTAAATCACCACAAGGGTATCCATACATTCAAATTGGCTCACAAGGCTCCTATGCACAAAAGTTCTTTCCCATCGACAACAAGTCTCACACAGTGGCCAACCAGTTCCTCTAGAGGGCCAACAACAGGGCATAGATGCCAAGGCCTTCCCTGATAAGAACCTAAGAAGAGTCCATCTAGTCCAGCATCCTGTCTCACCCAGTGGCCAGCCAGTTTCTCTGGAGGGCCAACAACAGGGCAGAGAGGCCGAGGGCTTCCCCTGAGGTTGCCTCCTGGCTCTGGGGTTCAGAGGTTCAAGAACCTCTGGATGTGGAGGTCCCCCTCAGTCAACATGGAAAGTAGCCATTGATAGACCTATTCTCCATGAATCTATCTCATCCCCTTTTAAAGCTGTTTATTCCTGTGGCCATCATGACATCCTGTGGCAGCAAATTCCACATTCTAATCACTCTCTGTGCAAAGTAGTATTTCCTTTTTTCTGTCCTGAACCTACTGCCCATCCGCTTCATTGGATGCCCTCGGGTTCTAGTACTGGCAGCATCCTGAACATTTCACTCATTCTAATCCTATTTTGGCATTCGGACGATGTTCCCTCCCCCTGCCCTCCCTTGCAGGCCCGATGCCCAAGCTCCTTCTGACGACCGAGGCCCCACTCACGTTGTAGGCAGTCAGCGTTGAGGAGATCTTGGCACTTCTCGTGGCATTTCACCCCGCACTCGGTGCACCGCATCCCTTGGCGCGCAATGCCCCACAGCAAGCCCTCACACTCGTAACAGTAGGTGGGCGTGGTGGCCGTCCACACCTCAAAGTTGTGGGGGGTTGTGGAAGAGATGGGGTAGATTAAGGCTTGAAGGGTCTTCTTGTAAACATGGTTTTTCTGCGGGAAGAGGACAAAGACAGACGCACATTCGGGCTCCGTTTATGGCGCATTTGCCGTCTGCTGTAACTCAGAAAAGGAGAGGATGTGTGTGACAGAAACCCTAGGACTTCACCAGGGCTCAAGAGTGTCACATAGAGCATCTAGGATCTTGGAAACCTGGTGTTACATTAGAATAGCCCATTCGCTTCCGTTCCACGCGGACCATCCTGCCAGAGTTGTTGCCGTTTTTGCATGGCGTTGGGTGTAGTATAGCCAGGAGGTCCTAAGATTGTCTGGCCGCCTCAAGTTCTAGCTCTTTGAGTGTTAAATGGCGAGCTGAGAGAGCTCTGCGAGAACTTGTGACTGACCCAAGGTCACCCAGCAGGCTTCATGTGGAGGAGTGCGGAATCAAACCCGATTCTCCAGATTAGAGTCCGTCACTCTTAACCGCTGCATCACGCAGGCTACACCTGCCAGAGGTAATCCCTTTTGAACAAGAGACAACCTGGTTTGGGCCAGACCACCTCTTTGTCATGGAAGTTCAGAGCCATTACAAGAGGCTCAATGTAGGTGGGATTCTATTTTATAAATCTGATTGGCAACAGTCGCTCCTGGCATCAGACCTTCGCATGGGATTGATGGAATCAGCTCGTCACTCTTCGGAGGCTGGCTTAGGTCCAACTCCCTTGACCATAAATATCTGGACCTTTAGGATTTCCCCTTGCCCTCAGTTATCAGTCAGTTCAGTTCAGTTCGATTCAGGGGTCATTTCCTGCGGGAGCGCACAGGAGCGGATCTCCGGCAGTAAAGAGCCCAGGGGGCGGGCACATGCAACAAGCCCCACCCCCTGCTCCCAGCATCCCTCAGTCAAAGCAAGAAGCAGCCAGGTAAGTTGCAGAGCCCCCCCCAGCCCCCCGGTCCAAAATAGTCCAGTGGCACCTTTAAGACC